AGCAGTCATCACAAAGGCTCAAAAATTCAGACTATATGGGAACATCCTCCCTATGGTCTAAACCTTCTACCTTGTGATTTCCTTGTGTTTGGCCCCATGAAAAAGGACTATTTGAATTGCTGATATGAGTCCAATGAAGACGTCACAAATGCGATATGAGAATGGTTATTGCATGTTGGACAGGAATGCTTCCAAGAAGGAATAGAAAAACTCCTGCCAAGCTACGATAAATGTTTAAATAAATTTGCTGATTACGTTGAAAATTAACACTTAGATTGTACATTCATACCAAAGACTTTTGATCTGTATGTTTCATACTTGTATTTTTGGTATGAGTGCAACTTACTTTTTGGCTCACCCTCATAGCTTTTTTATTTCAGTGTATTTCTAGTCTTCACGAAGCAATGTATTTTGTAAATTTAATGGAAATTGAGATAACATAGTGCATAAATTTTTTACAAAATTTTATGCACTTGTGTTTCAAATGCAGTTGTATGTTTCGAAAGGTTCAAGATGTAGGTCTTCTTCCTGCATCTTAAACTTCTGATGAATTTTGACTGTATAATTTATTATACATAGCTTTATTATAGTTTTGTATCTCTGGTCAATTTTGTCTATCTCACTTTTTCACTGGTTCTTTATTATTTGAATTGAATAAGAACTAAAGATGAATTAAGAAGTAAAATAATAAGCATGTGCAGCTGTTTTGTATATCTTCACAGGTTCATAAGTGTACTGCAGTAATATGATGGTAACAGATGGGGATAAAAACATACTGTATATAGATTATATACAGTAATTTACAATGGACTAACTCAGGGATACCTTCTTTCTTATCTCTTTTATTTAGAAGAAACTGTCAGCAAAGCTTTGGAAAGAATAAAGGAAATCAGCATAAATGGTCATTTAAGTTTATTTCCTCTATTCATATGACTTAAAATATGCTAATGACATTCTTTTAATACTGAATTTTAAGATGATGATAAATTTAATAATTAGATAAAACTGGATTACTGTAATATATGGCTTGAATGTAAATTTAAATAAAACAAAACTACAAAATGCTATTATAATTTCAACTGTAACATTCAAAATTCTACTCAAAAGACAATAAATTTTTAAATTTATTGTTTCTGAAATGAAATGTTTCAGAATAACAACAAAATCAAAAAGACAGAAAGGAAATTAAATGAAATTGTTTGTTGGGAATTAAATTATATAAAAATATTATTTGAAAAAGTACAAGATATAATGGTTCAGACATTTCAAAAATTTATACCATTCTAACACTAAGGTCAGCATAAATGAGTAAAAGGAAAAGATGCTGGTCAGAACCAAATAGATACAGGCAATAAAGAACAATATTAACTACAGACTACTGTTAAAGGCATGAAATAGAGGAAACCAGAATTAAAAATTGAACTTGTCTGATAATACAGTAAAATGAAAATGAAAAATTAATAAGCAATTTTTTTTTCTTGTTTTGGTAAAAATCTCATACAAAGCATATAACACAAATGATCTAATGTTATGAATGTGTCTCTTTAATCCAACAAATTAACTTCGGTAGACTATCCATACAGCTTTCAGGTTAGACATTTCTTTTATTGTTTTGACATATGCATTTCAGGCTTATATAAATTTGCTAAGCCCCTTTTCAGTGCAATAATATGGTTCTGTCTTCAGTGCAATAATACACCGTAGTTTTAGAAGACAGTGCAATAATACGCCATATAATACCCTCTTCAGTGCAATAATACATCTTAGTTTTAGAAGACAGAACCATATTATTGCACTGAAGAGGGGCTTAGCAAATTTATATATGCCTGAAATGCATATGTCAAAACAATAAAAGAAGTGTCTAACCTGAAAGCTGTATTGATAGTCTACCAAACTTAATTTGTTGGATTAAAGAGACACATTCATAATGAAATAACAGCTACCATAAGTGATATTTAGAACAAATGATCTTATTTGTTGAGTAATGGCTTATCATTTATTTTACTTAATGCAACTAAAATCTTTTTGTTTATCAAATTTTTTATCTAGTCAGAAACCTTGAGCTTAAAATAACATTTGTTTTATTGATGTGTTTTTTTACATTATTGACAGCAAAATGCATTTCGGATTTGCCTGACCTTTTTCAATCATTACAAACATGTAATATTTTTCAAATATTTTACAGATTTGTTTATGAATAAGTTATTTCTTTAAACTGACAATTTCTTGTTTATTCCTAATTCTATATTATTAATGCTNTAGCAACTCTGAAATGCAGTAGGAGAAGAAAATATTTATATAGAAAAACAGACACAGTTTAAAGTTAGGTTAAAACAATGAAAAAGTAATTTAAGTTAGATTTTCATTCATTCCTCTTTTATATTTATTCTAACAATGTATGACTGTAATATGAGAATACATGTTAAGATGTGAGAAATGTGTATAAATTTAAATAACATATTTATTAAGGCTTCTCCAGTTAAAGTCAACTGTATTCTGCTTTATTAAAAAGAGTAGAATGTGTTCTTTGATTCCCAAGTATTTTGCAGCCTTTCATCTTCAAGGATAAAAGTCTTTAAAAAATTTAAATTGAAGACGCATTGAGTTACATCAGAATGTTATAACTTTGAAAGTGTTTGAGTTTTGCACAGATTTCTTTGGTAATTTCTCTCTTTTAATGGGCTAAAAGGCATGAATGTGTTTGAGAATTAAGAAAGGTATTCTAAAAATCTCCAATAAAGTAGAAAACAGTGAACATACTTATATTGTCAAATAATAACAACAAAGTTAAATGAAGGAAATAAATTACTATTTGGTATGATTTATTTTGGTAGAATTGCAGCTTTAAATGAGGAGATTGGGACCTTATCAGAGCTGTAGATCATCTGTTTCCTTGACTTTTTTGCTTGTTCCTTTGCCCCTCTCAAAACCAGTGAATTTGGAATTTTGAGACTCAAAAATGGAGTAAAATTTAAATGAAAAAATTCAGAGTTATTTCTGGGGGGAAAAAAAAGCTAAAAATCAGTTGTTTTCCACTTCACTAGAGATGACTAAAAACTCATAAAACATGAGAAATGTTATTACACTGACCAGTTTTTGGGCACACACTGGGTTATGCTGTGCACTCCATTAAGCCTATTGCATGTGTAATAAGCAGCCTGTCAGTATTTCAGGAGACTATAACTTGTAAAAGGTTGTATATAGACTATCAATTCCTTTGACTTTTTTTTTTTTACTCCTGTGGGCATGGTCTACAGCTCTGATAAGATGCTGACCACCTCATTCAGAGCTGCAATTTTTTTTTTCTAACACTTACAAACAGATGTTACAGCATAAATCAATAAATATAGAGTAAATTTATCATCTATTTTTTCAAATGATTTCTCTCAGCAATCAATAATTTAGAAAAGGTTAGTAGAAATAATTCAGATAAATTTTACTTTAAATTTATCTGAATTATTTCTACTAATTATCTATTGCTATATTTATTTCTAAGTAAAATAAATATAGCAATAAAGTGAGCAAATTTAAATTATTAGTAAATTAAAAATTAGTATTAACATTGCAATTGTTTAATACAATTTAAGAATATAAAAATAAATAGGTTAAGTATTATATAAATTTATGATGTAAACTTTAATTTTATGAAAAAATCTTAAATTTTCAAACAGCCAATGTCAAATTTATATTTGCACTGGTATTTAATAATTTGAAAAATTAGTAAGAAATATGAAACAGTCAATTAAAATAATAATTTATAGTAAAAATACTATTTAATTTGTGCAGTAAGAGACATGAGAATGGAAAATTGTCAGTTTATAATACAATTTTATTTAAAACTTAATTTGTAAAGAAAAAGTACTATCTACAGCAGTTGAAGAAGAATCAGATTGATTAAACTTACTTTTGCTACCAGTGTAAATATACAAAATTGCTGTTTTAAACCTGGGATTTGTAATTGTTAAAAAAATTTTATCAACAAAAGGTTTTGGTCATCATTAAGCCATCAAAAGATGGCTTAATGATGACCAAAACCTGCAGATTTGTTGTGGAGACTCCTCTCCATCTCATTAAGGCATCAAAAAGATGGCTTAATGAGATGGAGAGGAGTCTCCACAACAGATCTGACGAGTGGAGGAGAAAAATTTGTCAGCACAAAAGTAGTAAAAACCAGTTACAACACCAACCAAAAATAAACATGATTCCTATTGAAAGACAGTATATCATATTTTTAGTTTACCCTGGGAGCAGACTAGGCAAAAAAGTCTTGCTCTGCTTTTAAACCAGGTGAGTTAACCTCTACTGTTTAGAATGATTGGAGAGATTTCAATCTTTAATGGCTATAAATTCTATAAGAAGTGCCAAGAGCTGATTCGAGTTTTATGAAGGCATATCGAGCTACCTATTTGGCCAGTAAAACAGTACTTACATTGCTAGCAATATTCTCATGTCCTGGCACCCACAAGATTAAGACCATATTATAGGTTTGACCATATTATACTGTTTGCAGCTCATTGAGTTGCAAACAGCACTCCCAAACAAGTGCCTGAAAATTTATTTGGGCATGCCTTTAAAGCAACCTGACTGTCAGAAACAATGTAGATAATCTTACTAAGTGGACCTCTATGTAAAATAAGTGTAAAAATGCCAAATAATAACACAACATCCAAATAATAACTAGCAACTCTGAAATGCAGTAGGGAACCTATCCAGTTGATCAAAAAAGCTTGTTTCTGAGTGTCCCTCACAAATGCCAGAACCTGTGTGCTGCTATCAGTTTTGGATCCATCTGTAAACTAGACAATACCCTGTGAATGAAAGGTTACTCTACCAATATTCCACTAAAGGCAAGTGGGAAAAGAAACCAGATATTGCCAGTCAAACATAAATCAAGGAAATGTTCTGTTGGAGTGGCTATCTTATGCATATTATATATTAAGAAATTATTATATATGATATAAGATTAAACTAATAAATTTAAAATATATTTAATATTATAGATGGCAGGAATGCAAGATCAAAAATGGAATCAAAAAGATACAGCTGATCAGAATTTTGATTATATGTTCAAAATACTTATTATTGGCAACAGCAGTGTTGGAAAAACATCATTTCTTTTTAGATATGCTGATGATTCTTTCACTTCTGCTTTTGTGAGTACAGTTGGAATTGATTTCAAAGTAAAAACTATCTTCAAACAAGATAAAAAAGTAAAGCTTCAAATATGGGTAAGTTTTAAAAATATTTTATTGTGGTAAATTTTATAAAAGTATTAATGTGTTTATAACTTATAGAAACATTTTTGAACTTGCAAATTTTCCAAATTATTTAGGATACTGCAGGTCAAGAACGATACAGGACAATCACTACTGCTTATTATCGAGGTGCAGTAGGATTTATTCTAATGTATGATGTTACTAATGAAGAATCTTTTAACAGTGTTCAAGATTGGTCAGTTGTTTTCTGAGTTATGTAGTTTCATATGTAAATATATTAATTACTTCTAAGTATTTTAATTCTGAGAGAATGAAATAAGCCTAGTTTGATGCATTTTATTATTTATTTAGGAATAATAATAATAATATAATAAATAATATAAAAACCATTCAAAAGTCCAGCAAAATTCTTTAATAACATAAGAACGTTTTCAAACGCATTAAGCATCCATCTTCAGTTAATAATAATAATACAATCACCTATAATAATAATAATATATATAATAATATACAATCAGCACGATATTACTGGTGTAGAATTCAATAAATAAATAATTATCTAAAACTAGCAATAATTATCTTCAAAACATTAGTTTTGAAGATAATTATTGCTAGTTTTAGGTAATTACATATTTATTTATATAATAATAAAATGTATGAAACTACTGCCTGGTTTGGGATGTCTCTCTGAAGAGATATGAGAATTTATTATTTCCATACAAGATCTTGCAGGAAATCCACATAAAGTGCAAAACTCTACAACTTATATATTTGATTGCAAGCTTTTAACACATATAGACTATACATCAACATAACCAAATAGCATGCATAATATGTGAAAAGCTTGCACACAAGCATGTTGTTATACAATCTGCAACCATACTACAAAAACACAGCACAGATAGTCTTAGAATAATACACACACAATATTCTACAATGAAATCATAATCACAGACAAAGTAATCTGTCACAATAGATCAGATATTATTCATTGCCATACAAAACAAAAAAATCATATACATCTAGAAATAGGCATCTCAAACATCTACAACATACAAATAAATATATAATGAAAAAATTACTCAGAACTGGCCATGAAATAGTGTCTGAAATGATATGGAGAATGGATAAGATACTCATTGTATCTATAGTCCAGTCTTCTATATTCATTTTACTACATACACTGCACAAAAGTCTAAAGTATTAAGCCTAAACAACAGCAAATGCGTCACATTACACAAAATAGCTATACTAAGCAACCCACATGTCACAATGGAAATTCTTAAATACAGATACATGTGGGAACAGCACTTAAAAAAAATAATAGCTTGTTCTGTAGCTATGGTTTTGCTTGGTTTGTATGTTATAAATAGAAATATATTTAGGAAAATTAGAAAAACACTATATATAAATTAATGAAAAATCATTTTTTTTTCATTAACTTTACATATACAGGCATACCTCGACTTATGTCGTTTCGAGTTACGTCGTTCCCGATTATACGTCGTTTGTCAAAAAAGTATATGGAAAAATAAAAATCAAGTTTAAGTCATTTTATTCGACTTTACGTCTGTCCGCTACAAATATTGAAGTCGTAATATCACTAGATAAACGTTTAAAGCACATAAAATCATATTAAAATATATACAAGTATGAACTGTATTTACAGTACATGCATTCGTAAATTTAGATTACTTTTTTTCTGTACTATATTAAAAACTAAAATTTATTTGTTTGTAAGCTTAAAATAGATTTTTATTAACTATATATTATTAAAAATGCATTAATAAATAAAATACAGAACCGGGAATGGTAATTTACGGTTTAGCCTAGTGATAAGTAGATTCGGAGACAAGCAAATTCGACTTACGTCGTTTTCCTGGAACCAATTACCGACGTAAGGCGAGGTATACCTGCAGTGTTTTTCAGGTAATATGGTAATCTGTATCAAAATAGTAAATGATAAGCATTAAATTTACCATTAATAAAGTCTAGATAGAGTGAAATGAGTTAGGAATTACCTATCTTATCATTCCTTTAATTAAAATATCTAGATTTATTATATATATAAAATTTAAACTTAAAATGATTGTTTTTTAAATTCTATATACTTCAAATATTTATTATAATAGGGTCACCCAAATTAAAACACATTCATGGGATAATGCACAAGTTATTTTGGTTGGAAACAAATGTGATATGGAAGATGAACGGGTAGTTTCAGCAGAACGAGGTAAGCAGTTATCTATGCAGCTGGGTTTAGAATTTTTTGAAACTTCTGCCAAAGAGAACATCAATGTTACAACTGTTTTTGAACATTTGGTTGATGGAATCTGCAATAAAATGTCTGAAAGTCTAGATTCAGATCCAACTTTAATGAATGCTTCAAAAGGTACTCGGATCACTGAAAATCCACCTCCTCCAAGTAACGCATGTCAGTGTTAGCCATATTTTATTGTTTTAGTACATTGGAAATATATTAAATGTAGTTGTCTACTTTTATAGAACTTTCTCATTAGATCATCTTGTTGTTCAAACAGAAATAACACTATTTATAAATACAGTATTTATGAAATTGAAACTGATTTCAATAAGTAAAGATGTGTGTGCTATAATAAGAATAGAGACATGAAAAGGGGAAACACTGATACTTATATTCACAATTGAGGGTTAAGATTCAAAGTCATAATTTAATCAGTTAACATTTATTATACTTCAAATATCAATATATTTGATATTTGAAGTATAATAATGCTTATTGGTTAACTCTTGACTTTGATTTAAGATTCTGGATTGAGAATATAGATAAAAATCAATAAACTTATATATTCAAATGTTAAGAGAACATTTAATATTTATATTTGAAGTTTGTAAGAAATTAAGCAAATATATATCTGATAATTTAATATGTAAAGAGGAAAAGATAAGCTTTAGTCATACTGTGCCTTGATGACTTAACCTTGGAAATGATGTAAGTGCCTTAATAATGAATTATCTTGTTTTTTAAAAAATATATACATGTTCTTGCAAAGAGTAATTTAGTATCAAATGGATTAAATCACTTTACAATCTGTTCTGATAAGTCTTAACAATCAATTAGTTTAAATTTTCTATTATATGAAATACTACAGTTAAATGATGTATGTATTTCTTTGTTCTTGGTATAGAATTGTAGTTCATCTTGCTGTAAAATTATAAAGTTCAAATTATATTTGCAGAACAAGCTTCCACAGTCTGAGAAATTTTTATTCTTTAAAAGAAATATATCTGCTAATTAACTTTAAGTAAGTTATTGCACAGATTAGTGGCAAATTCAGATGTCATTATTAGGGAGACATCAGGAATATGTTTGTGTAAGACGTAAAATAGATCAAAAAAAGACTTAAACATATTAAGAAGATGCATATAATCCTCTGTGCCTGTCTGATACAAATAAAAGTTGAATGTATCAGTTAGTCTCTGTGGAAATTAGATTGAAGAGTAAGCATATCATAATATTTTTAAAAAGTTTTCTTATATTCAAAATTTGTTCTTAAAGTTGAATATATACATTCCTTAGGATACCAGTATCCCTTGATTAATATAGTTAGTTGATCCCTTGATCCTACCACATATATCAAAATTGCATTAATCAAAATACGGTATCTATGTTAAGTAGATAGCTGGTAAAGCTGCATAAATTAAAACTTCTGCATATATAAAGGGATTAACACAATTAATTTTGAGTATTAATCAAATCCCACATTAAGCAAAATTGCATTAAGCAATGGATACATATACTGTACATACCTTTCTTGTTGCTTTCATTTAGGTATCTTTGGAATATTGTTGATATACACTAGCAGTATTTTATGTTATATTTCTGTATTTATTTAACTTTTTACTAATTTCTATATCTTTATTTCAATTATATAAATGAATTTGGCAATCTTGAAGAATTCATTTTTATTCATTCATTTTTGCTGTTAATAAAAATTTACCTATGCTTTATAATATCTTCTCAATGATGCTAAATCATTATAATTTTACAACTCTTCTTTATCATATATCATATATATATTTTTAAAAATTTGAATTTTTCATTTTATTTGAGGTTTTGACTAATTCAGTTCTCTGATGATTAGTTCTTCTCTAGCAAACTATAGTAGCTACAAAGTATAAAAATCATAAATTTTATTAAATTAATAAAAAGTGATCAATCAAATTATGTATAATTTATAATTAATTGCAAGAAAATAAATTTCTGAAGAGAATTTGAATCACTTGTGCCATATAATTATATATAATTGGAAAGCCAGTCTTTGTCCACTGCAGTGTTTTCCAATCTGTGGTGTGTGAGACTATTGCAAGGGAGTGTGCAGCTTTTACTAAATTATCATTTTTTAATACAAACAAAAAAGGTCAAATCGATGTCAAAAAAATGAATCAGCAAAATGTTTAATTCATAACCCTTATCCAAACTGCTCAGGTATGAATGCTAAAAATTCATTTCCACACACTTGCCAAAATGTCTCTAGAAGAGCTGAGCCCCGGAAACAATGTAATAAGGTATATTATTTTGTAGGCCATTAAATAAATTATAAGGACAGTATTTATGAAATTAGATTGTTACAAAAATTTAAGGAGTGATGCAACAATTTTTTTCTGAAAAAGAGGTACAGATAGTTTGGAAACCACTGGTCTAATGTAAAACCTGATAATTGACTGTCAAAATTATGAATTTATACTTACAATGAAAATATAAGATATTTTAATATTTTACAGGATAATGTTTAAAAGAAAGTATTTGAATTTTTTAGAGTTAAAAGTTAATATTTGTTCATAGAATATGTGTCCTGTAATAAACGTTAGATATAAAAATTTTTAATTAATTTTTATACATAAATTATCATGATTTTAAAATCACTATAAATTTTGATGGCAGCAAAATAGTAAAACTTTTCTTTGATATTACAGTACCTTTATATATTATAAAATGCTTACAGAAATAACAATTTTTAGAAAAAAAATATTGGAAAAAATTTTAAAGGTTATAGTTATTTGATAAGCAGCCTTCAGATATTGTCTACAGCCAATGAAAACTTATATTTATAATTGATGAAAATGGATGTCTGGATGGACAAGTGATTAAGGTGGCAGCTTACTGCTCCAGGGGACCAGGGATAAATCTGGACATGTGAAAAAAACCTTGGGAATTTTTAAGGAGGGTTAGTCTGGATATGTTGGGCCTCTCTTTCTTGCCACCCAGATGCTCCATAGCCTGGAAATTCATGAGCTTCCTAAAAAAAAGGACTTAGTGCCCACTGGGCAGAGTTTTGAAAAAAATAATGTAAATGTATATCTGAAGATTACCTCATTTTCAATAATAAAATATCAATTTTTATGATAAATTTTAGTGTAATAATTTGTGAATTTTATTTAAAGTTAGCAGTAATTTTTTTATGTATTAAACTAGAAAAATTATATGATAATTTAATGTATGTTGTTTATTATTAGTAATTATAGAATTTGACAAATTTTCATTAGCTTTTGGATATTTTAAAATTCAAATCTAGGCCTATTTAATTTATTAGATTTTCTATTAGAATTTATTTCTTGTAAGAATATTAGATATCATGAGAAATAAATTCTTGTACAAAATCTGTTTTGCAGTAAATGAATCATTATGCTACATCTATGTAAGAATAGGTTACCAGTAGTTTGCTTTATATCACTTTTTACCCTTTATTTTTAATGAGCTCTCTCTTATCATTGCAGTTCATGTTTCCAATATGAAATGAAAATTTATTTCAGTTTATTCTCTTTCAGATTATAATTTTCTATCTTAAATTTTTGTTTTAAATATTTGTAAAATAAATACATAAAACTTTATTTTGGATCTGACACATATGTTTTGTTTGTTATATTTATTAATTTAGCAATCTAATTTATATCTAAATTTTGAAGTTGATTGAGTTAAACAGTGTTTTAAAATTTGAAAAATTCAAAAGTACAAGTTCATAAATAAAATTGCTTTTTATAAAAGAACAAAAAATATAATATTTTACAGACTAAACTTCTTATGAGTTGTGAGGAAATTCATATGAAAATTTATTCTAATTCTAGTACTGAAATTAGAATGAAATTTTTTAAGAATTTCAAGACTGTTTCATGTACTATAATCAAGGCTATAAGTTACAAATAAATTATGCAACTTATTCTATAGTTTGTTAATACAGTAGAGTCTCTGTAATCTGGCATATATCAGACCATTTGAGTTTGTATGTATATATGTACTGTAGAATAAAAATTGCCTTGGTTCACTTGTTAATTTATTGTATTAATCACAATTGTGACTGTTTTGCCAATCACTTGTGCAACAAGCAACTGGCAAGTGACTGTATGCACATACATCAGTCTCTGTTGCATATGCTGACAAATGGTAACATGAATATTTCATGTGCATTGCTCTATAGCAGGGGTGGCAAACCTATGGCATGTGCACTTCCAAGAAAGCATTTGGCATGTAACGTATCATACAATGTTGGTTTATCACTTGATCATCCTTTTTTCAATCAGCTTTTTTACATTTACTTTAATTAAAGGATATTCATTTTATTTATTTATTTAAGCATAGTTATTTGAAGTCTAGAACTTTGGTGCACACAGACATTTCTAAACATAAAACACTTACTATGCGGCTTGTGGACTCAAAAAGTTTTGCCATCCCTGCCCTATAGTGTGTTGGATTACTGTATGTGTTGGACTGGCAAATGATGGACTACAGAGAGACTACTATAATAATTACTCCTCTTTTGCAAATGTTTTTATTTTTAGAGTATAGAAAATATGTTCAATTGACTTCAAACTATTAACAGTTTATAATTAAATTAATATATTGATAATTCATTTAAAAGATCCTGGAAGAAAAGAATTGACTTGAAGTGAAACTTCAACCCGCAACTCCCACTTATCATGCAGTCACGTTGCCAGTTATGCTATCTGGACCTTTATCTTATTCTCATTTCCAGAATGATAAGTAACCAAGTATGGTTATATCTAAATTAATAGATTCTGGAAGCAAGTAATCTGCAACACGACCACACAGTAAGTGGGAGTTGTGGGTTCGAGTTCTACTTTGAGTTGATTAATTTAGAAGGTTCTGAAAGAAAAATACAGTGGGTGATCAGTTAACGAACATAATCTATTCCAAGACTTTGTTCGCTATCCGAATTGTTCATTAACCAACTATCAATTTACCATAGGTTTTTATGGGAGTTTGATTAATTCGTTCTGGAGACCCCAAAAAATAAAAAATATATACTTTCTTACTACATTTACTTATATGTAATCATAAAAATACATATATACACAGTCTTGTATTTTTGTTAGTCATGTTTTTTCCATTTGTGGGGGTTAAGCTGCTTGAATCTTCTTGATAATACAGTATCTTTCTTAGATAAGATTGAACTATGACCTACTGTCGACCTGTTCAAGCCATACTGCCCAGTAACATCAGACATCATCTGCCCATTCTCTATCTTTGCTATTATACTCTCACCTTTTGAAAATAAAAATGACACAAAAGTTAACGAGTGCCCGCCTGACAGTCTCGCAAATACTATAAAAGAATTGTTTCTGTCAGAAAAATAAAAGGCTGGAATTACAAGGGAGAGTTTCAAAGTTTGGAGGAATACTATCCGATCAGTATATACCAAGTTGAGCGTCGATGTCAAAGTCTCCCATGCTCCGAAAAGTTTCAAATTGTTGTCTGAAGACAAGGGAAGACTAATTGATATTCATTATATTACATTGCTTCTTCTTGTGTTTGTTCTGCGAGGTGTTCATTGTCCGAANGACTCAAAAAGTTTTGCCATCCCTGCCCTATAGTGTGTTGGATTACTGTATGTGTTGGACTGGCAAATGATGGACTACAGAGAGACTACTATAATAATTACCCTCTTTTGCAAATGTTTTTATTTTTAGAGTATAGAAAATATGTTCAATTGACTTCAAACTATTAACAGTTTATAATTAAATTAATATATCACTAACTTGATCTAAATATTCTAGACATATTTTAGCATGTTATTTGTACATACACTATTTCCTGAGGATATGTCATGATGGAATGTTTGCCATATATTATAAAGAATATTTTCTAGTAGATTTTAAACAGATTTTTTAAAAAAATCAAAATTCGGTGTTTCCCATTTTCATCTCTCAAACAGATGAAACATTTCAAATAATGTGAACATATTGCTTTTTTCTGCCATTTTATTTCCTGAAACTTTTATTTTGATAATGTCTTACACGTGTATATGGTTATTATAATGTTAACACTGTTGAAAATAATATATTTGTAGATTATAATATCAATAAATACAACCAACCCGATAGCTACATTAAATATCAAACGAACAGCCAGATTCCTCTGTCAGGCATAAGGCTATACAAATAAATAAATGTTTATTTGTTTATAATTATTGAATTTAACAAGAGATGGTGGCCTAATAACCTACCTTCTGCCAAATTTCTTAGTAATTTAGCCTTAATAGACCATTGAAAGATTTCGGCTGTTCATTTGATATTTGAAATACTCATAGATTAATTGCTTATAAATAGCTTATTCAAAAAAAAAAATATATATATATATATGTATGTGTATGTATACAGTATTAAGATCTATTTGTGCTTGATTAACTAAGCAAATATTGATGGTAGATTGAACATTGAATAATTTTAGATTCAAAATTGTATCTGAAACTAGAAAATGTGGTTTAGTTGATAACTGTATATATCAGGTTTATAGTATTCTTGTTGCAAAATATTCATTATTTATCTATATTGATTGAAATGAGAAAAATTAGTTTGCAATAATCTTAGTTAATTAATCAAAATTCAAAACATTGATTCTGTTTAATTAATCATGAGTTTATATTGTGTCAAAGTTTTTGTTTGCATTGATGTAAGCACATAAATATGAATATTGATGAAGTAAATACAGTAAAAGAAAAAAAAAATGATATTTGCACAACTTCTTCCATACACTTGAATGTAGTTGTTTATGAAAATATCTACTGTAAAAAGTTTAGAAAATTTCTCTGCATGTTTCTTATTGTAATGTTTTACAGACAGTTGTTTGTTCTAGTCATTTGCAATATAGTTTTAAGTAAAAATCTGTAGTTAACATGATGAGCAATATTTCAAGTACTCTCATGGAGATTGAGAATCACTAATGTAAGAAATAAATTTGTATACCAAATTTAAAATTAACTTCTTCTAAATATGAGAAGCTGTTCATCAGTATTTTGTCCGTGTAACGTGACAAGTAAACGTCGACGAAATTAATCTATATAAATATTGAATGATCATAAACGTTATTGGATTTGTCTATGAAAAATCAATTTATATAAAAATTAAAATGGCAATAATTTATTTTGAGTATGATTTTTAAAATAAGTGATATTATGCATTTGTTTTAAATTGAATACTTATTTTGACACTGCTTACCTGAAATTCATCTTTTTTCTTGATATTTTATTCTATTTTTTAAATTTTATTTTTGCATTACTGTTTTATAATTTTAAATATTTATTTATTTATTATTTTAAACTAATGTGTTTGTTCAGTATCTCTACAATTATTATTTGTTACAAATTTAAATGTCTAGTCACTGTTAAGAAAATTATTCACTCAGGAAACACCATACGTTACCAGTCTTCCTACAAAAGTATTAATTTTTTGTGTGTAAGTTTTGATTAAATTAATTATATTCATTTTAATCATTATATTGCTATTTGTTGCAAAAACACTATGCAAAAATACTGTACAAAAATGGTTTTTCTTTTGTTTCATTTTAGAATTTCAGAATAATTTTAGAATTGAAAACAGGCTGTTTATAAAAAAACTATTTATTCTCTTTTATATTCCAATTTGTAATGTTATGAATGACAATTTGTGATTAACTTAAGGGAACATAACGGAGTTTATTCATTAAAAATTCTGTTTGCGTTTATTGTAAATTAAAAAGTTTATATTGATCTCCAATAACAAAAAGATTTGGAATTGTTATTTTTATATTCAATAGATATATAACAAACTTATACATTTAAAATTCCAACAAAAATAAGAAAGAAAAAAATCTTTCGAACATTTATTAACATCATATCATTTAAATGTTGCATCTGATTTTGCTAAATAAATCAGGATTTTGCATCTGATGTTGCTACATAAATAAGGAACAATTGCACCAATTTTATAATATGTAACTATCTAATGCATGTTTATGTTCTTGCAAA